GATCACTTATCATATCCTCCTTTGAAGCAATGAGCAGCAGGCCTTGATCGCATCCAGAAGTACTAGAGATAGTCTGCAAAAGCAAGTTTGACACCAGTCAATTGGAACCACAGAAGAAAAAGAAGAAAAATAAACTCAAGTTTCAAAATTTATAGAGATCCATACAATCCAAATCAAGATCAATCTTCCACGAACTTAATGCCACTTTCAGCACCTCCAAGCTCTGCCGAAAAACGTAGCCACGGTATGCCACAATCGTTCGCTTGAAAATCTGAAGATGTCAATTGAAGCATGCAAGCAAAAACATGAAGTAAAGAAGCGCAGGTGGACAACAAAGGAGATGAACTGAGTGAGGCCAAGAACACATAGAAGGACTGAATGTAAGCACGTGAGGCCTTGCTTGGTTTTTTCCTCCGTGCATGGCTTCATGTGCGAAGAGTTTGGTGTGGTAACATATGTTGCGGAGCAGAGTGAATATAATTACGTGAGGCCTTGTGAGGTTTTACCACCGCCCGAGGACTCCTGTGCATGGGCCCCGGGCGAGAGTCATTTGCGAAAGTGTTCTGCATGAAACTGGTGCCCTGAGGCTTCTGGGCATGTCGCCCCATTGTCTGAAAATTATGCATGTACTGATTCTTCAGCTCTTGAGCAACTGATTGCTGCTGGCTCACTTTCTATATATATCAAAGACACAATAAACATCTAAGCTGCTGCAGTTAAGCTGTGACATTGTAAAGTTTAAAAAGGAAAAGAATTAGAAAAAGAAAAAACAGAAACCACGAGCTTTTTACTGCTACAGTTAAGTACTAACAAATCGGGATTTCTAGGGTATGCGTGCGGCGCTAGGGTTTGTGTGGTGTGTGTCATTTCTCAACAATCTCATGGAGTGGAAAACGTTTTTCAGGGATCCCACTTTCTGGTGGGACAACAGGTTCAAGAAGAAAAACAAGTTCCTCTCAGAGTCCTACCCGGATTTCAAACATGTTTCTACCGGAGAGAGCCTGTGGATCGCCAACAGGAAAACACCAACCTGGGTCTCTGCAAAACTCGAGTCGCTCGCTGACCCAGCTGTAGGTAAGGCCACCACGGCCCGCTACAAATCTCCACATACCCCAGCTGTAGCTGGTGAGGAACCGGTGAGTTTAGGGAGGCTGATACACCGCGTGAGAGACTCAGCTGAGAGCAGATCCCTTTCTTTGGGAAAACAAGCCCATGAAGCTGTGCTCAAGAGTGATGAGCACAAAAGCAACATCTACTTGTTGACGGGATTGATCGATATGTACTGCAAGTGTGGCGAGCTTGAGAAGGCTCGCAAGATTTTCGACTCCATGGGAACCCGGAGTGTTGTGTCCTACAACGCGATCATCCAGGGCTGCGGCTCGAACGGGCAAGCTGAACTTGCTCTGGAGTACTACTCTGCCCTGAGAGCTTGTACCACCATTCAACCCAACGATCGGACACATGTTGCGGTGATCAGCGCCTGCTCCAGACTTGCTACCGAATCCAGCGAGAAGAGGGAGAGAGCTCTACGCATCGGGATGGAGATCCATTCAATGCTGAGCAAGGAGAAGAAACATCTAGATCTGTTCGTGGCGACTTGCATGGTAGACTTGTACTGCAAGTGTGGCGAGCTTGAGGAGGCTCGCAAGATTTTCCACTCCATGGGAACTCGGAGTGTTGTGTCCTACAACGCGATCATCCACGGCTGTGGCTCGAACGGGCAAGCTGAACGTGCTCTG